CAGTCGGCCGCCGTGCTGGCCTGTAAAAATCACATTATTAAACAAATAAGTCAAATAAATACAAAAAAAAGTCAACCACTCTCAAAAAAAAAAAAAAAAAATCTCGCAGTCATTTTCCAGGAATCGAAAAAGCATTTTGGGTGGCGATGGAAGTCTAAAAAAATCTGCATTTGTTTGCACGTGTGGTCTTACATGCATTCAACCTTCAAAATGCAACAACAAAACAAAACAGCGACGAGCCTCTCCTCGGCCTTATTTTGCTTCCTCATAACTTATCTCTTAAGAGATATTTACAGTACATCTCGCGAGAAGGAAGTCGTGGCATTGATCCGACCAATCAGATTGGGGCGAGCGGATGGTGTGTGTGAAAAATGCGGAGTATGCGAATAGCTTAATTGCAATGTCATAATCCACCCGTTGTTGGCGGGCCCACATTGCATCGTTATCTCGTATCTCGGTTCATATCTTGTACAAAAACAAATCCAAGTTTCAGTCTTTCATTTTGTGATTCTTATCTGCTGCGACACAAATACCAGCACTCCTTGATGAGTGCGCAAGCATGAGGAAGATGGCAACACCCGCGGGGCTTTGGATCTTGCGCGAGAACAGTTTCCTTTTGGTGGCGTTCATTCCAGCCTGCTGAGTTAATGTTGACGACTTATCAGACCGGCGATGCATCGAGTATCTCCGAAATACTTTGATACCGTACGCACTGATACCGCATTGACAGCCAGACACACTGTCTGTAGCACAGCTGGGCGTGTGGAGATCCACCTTGAAAGTGACATTTTGCAGACCGGAAACACAGTTTTTCCATGTTGAACTAATTTGCGGTTGTTCGTGTGCCGTGCGGATGAAACTGTGCTGTTGGTTTCTGTGTCGACGCGTTTTGGTTCATTTTGACGCCTCTTTTCACCCGCTTGTCATGTCGTCAATTTGCTGGCATGCAGTTCAGCTGTCAATTCTTTTTATACGAGCAGCAACTTGAGCTGCAGAAAAGGAATACTTTGAAAATGAATGTGTTACGTTTTTTTTTTAATAACACAGCAGTATAAAAATGACTTACCGTATTTCCCGCACTAAAAGGCGCACTGGATTATGAGGTGCACCTTCAATGAATGGCCTATTTTGTAATTTTATTCATATATTGGACGTGCCGCATTATAAGACGCGATCTACAATGCATCCATTAGATGGAGCTACGCTCAAGGAAACACCAACAGAACGATCAGATGTCAGTAAAACCTATTTAATAAAGCAGCGACACAGTTCAAAGGATTTACTTGGTTGTGTAATTTCAAACTTGATGATTGGGTGGGCAGAGCTTACTTGCACACACACACACACACACACACACACACACACACACTCTTACTTGCACACACACACACACACACACACACACACACACACACACACACACACACACACACACACACACGGACACACTTGATTTAGTAGAGAGCAGCCAATTCTTTCAATATCACGTTCATTTGAAAAACAAACAATGTTCTTGTGCCAATCACTTTTGGACGAAAGTCACTTTTAAGGTTGCGTTGGAAACATTGTTGATTCTGGAGAAAGGGAAAAACTTTGAAAGTCTTTCAAACGGAGCCCCCAAAAAAGCCGACGGAGGGAAATAATAAAGGGGCAACGGGGAGGGGAGGAATGGCAAGGGAAGGAGAAAAATAAGCGAGTAAGGAGGCGAACCCCCTCTAGTTTGTGGCAATAAAAGAGTAGCGCTGCTCTCTGGGAGATTAAATATGAACGGAACAAAACAAAACGAGGGCTTTGGGACCCTCCGAGTCCTGGCCATTCTTTGGGCCGCAGTAGCCTAGCAACCGCTGCTTGACCAGTCCATTGTGCAAACGTATGTTAAGCTTTTATCCCTCATTAGCAACATTCCTCCCCGCGGGCCGGGATTTCACAGATTAGCTGAAAAAACACAAAAGCAGATTGGACAAATCTTGCTGACTTCCAACATATTACTTTACAGGCTAATCATGGATCAAATAGCGACATGTTTATCTGGCGCGCAGATGTACACGCGGGGGGAGTTGATCAAATGACAAGGCTGAGCAAGTGGATGGAGGCGGGCCTTCCTGCCGATCCCGTCCACACTTGAAAATACACACACAACACCCCCCCACCAAAAAAAAACTATACTCTCAGGAACTTGTCCAAGTTAAATTATTCCGTTTTTTTTTTCTGCTGGGGAAAAAAAAAAAGCACCAGACACACCACAGGGTGCGCTTGTGTGAGTAGAGGAGAATCTTTCTATGAACTCCACCCGGTCTCCATAACACGCAACCTCTCTAACGGTCTGAATTAAAAGTTAAAAAAAAATTCTATGCCAGCCATTTGCATTCATCACAATCCTCGACTGCCAGTATTTTGACTTTATTTTTCAAGACGCACTGAATATTGTGTTCTACGATTATTTTAACATTGAATCTACCAAATGAAAGAACAGACTGTCCTCTTTCACCAGAAAAAAATTAGATTCGACCTTCAGCAGTAGAACATAGGTCGGGTTTATGACATTCACCCGCCATGCCCAAAATCCAAAGAAAAATAGCTGCCTGTGGAAAAAAAAAAAAAATAATAATAATAAATCATCAAAACAGTGACTGCGACGTGACCGTTTTTGCTTCAGTAACACTTCTAACATCTGAGCAGTGGCTTCATTCCCTAAAATCGGCTAATTCAACATTAAGCGATGGCTTTTGATCCCAAAACCGTCACAATGTATTGCTGTTGTCCGCTTGGAGTCACCGTCCTCGCATTTGCACATATCTGTGACTCTTGAGTATGTGCAGCTTGAAAGGCACGCCCGGCCTGGTGAGTGACGTGCGTGTCAGCAAACGAAAGTGCAGAGTTGGCTCAGTTATCAAGTGTGCAAGTTGCGTGACCCGGCGTGAGGCGTGGCCAGCAGTAAGCTTGTGCATGAATGTGCTTCCTATGCGTTTGTTAAACAAAGTCTTGGAAAGTGTACCTGCAATTATAGAGATAATAAAATCTGAGCGTCATTCTTAAAAGAGATCTGCGTTCACTTTCTACATCCCAATTGGAGCGTGCAGACGGAGCCGTTGGCTTCGGAGGGCCCGTCGTCCCGGCGCAGGTCGCGGTGAAGTGGCAGGACAAACACACCGACTTGTGTGTTAGCAGCTCGCCGTCCGCTCAAGGGGGGCGGGGGAGAAATGCGGGGGGCTTTGTTTATATTCGCCAAACACCCGATTATCCGCGACCATTTAAGGCTTTTCTCGCCATCTGGCCTCTAATTAAGGCGCGTCTTTGCCATCTTTAAGGTCTGCGCTGGCACAGAGGGATGGCAAGAAGCATCTCGCTCTAAAACTAAATTGTTATGACGGCTATAACGGATTATTGCTGAGTCGTTTGTTCAACTTGGGCTGTCCATATTTACAGTATATCACAAATATCAAATCAAGCTGCCTGGAATTGAACTGAAGCGGTCACCGCTTTGACACTTCTGCCCAATCCCCCGAGCGAACATATTTGTCCTCCAAAGCCACCGGAATCAGATTATGACTAACTAGAAGGAGCTGATGTCAGCAAGGACACAAATTGGATTCTTCATTTATTATTCAATCTGGAAACTGGATTCTTTTTTTTTCCCAGAGAGGTGCGGGCTGTTGCAATGGTTGAACAAGCCACTTAAGTCGTCAAGCAGTGCTCGTTAATACCTCCGTTGTACTTTCCCTGGGTGAAATCAGTCCAATCGTGTGACACCTCGCTCAGCGCTTATTGGTCACAAGAACGGCAAACAGGAGGATGGGTGTCGAATAACTTTCTGATCATGGCCAAACCAAACCCAAGTTATTCTGAAAGCATCCTATCGATTTTGTCCATGTCGGAGTTGGATTACCGTGTTCCCACTTGATCAAACAGACTGCTCCAAGAGGTGAAAACAAAGTCAAAAGTTCAATTGCAACGGGCCAAATGGTGCGAGAGGGAAATCACTCTTCATTTATCGACAAGATGCTCATTTACGACACGGACACAGTCTCAACTTAATTTCCCTGCCCTTTAACTGGGCTTAAAAACTGTCACATGACCATCGGGACTTGCGGTGTCCGCTCGGCTCATGTGGCAAGAACAAGCGTGTGTTTACGTTTGTTCAATCACTGCCTCTATTTGAACAACATTTCCTGGGTGCTTGACTGAGTGTGTGTGCTAGGGGATAAGGGCAGGGGGAGCATTCCAGCTGTGCAAACTAACTTAATTTCACATCCCCTCGAGGGCGCACACGCACACGGACTTTAAGTGCATGCGCACCTCATGTCCCTAATTGGGGAAGGTTACCATTTCCAAAGACCTTTTTAAAAATAAACTCCACAAGAGTTGAATAAATTAGTTAACTTGTCGTCGGATTTCAAAAGGAGTTTTGTGTATAATGTAGGGAATATCCTGTAATCCGATCATTATGTCACGTATTATGTAAATTTGTGAATAAATTGAGTCGACAGTGAGTGGTGACTGAAATTGCAAACCGGTGGGCAATGCCTGGGAATTTCCATAAAGTTTTCGTCACATTTTCATGAGAAATTAAGATGAGGAATTTTTGAAATTTCAATGGCGATTATGAGAATGTAATGAAATGAACGAGAATACATCAGAATTAACTGAGAATGCAGGTTACGTTCACGGAAAAGTAAAAATATTCATTGATTCATTGCATAAACGATTATTGTCGATAAATCGATTTCTCATCGCGCCCCAAGCAAAAATATTTTCCCTTAATATATTTAAGCTCCCAACCAAGCAAATTTGCATCGTTTTTGTTTTATTTCCATTTACTCCCGTGCAGATGAATTTTCCAGGCCAAATCACGAGACTTCTCCGATGTAAAAGCATGTGTGCCTTGACTTAAGAAAGATCGGGAAACACTGACGACCTTTCTGTGACGTGCCACTATTATTTGCCCTGAAATGAGGCCGACATACGTGCTGAGACACTGAGCCAACTTGTGTTGTTCTTACTGTTGCTGGACTTGAGGTCTCGGTGGATGACCACGGCCTCTTCATGCAGGTAGTGCATCCCGCGCGCAATCTGCACGGCCCAGTTGACGAGGATGTGCGGCGGGATTCGCCTCCCGGTCAGCGCCCGGTTCAGCGTGCCCCCACGGGCATACTCCATGACCAGGCACAGGTTGGGCTCGTCCAAGCACACCCCCTCCAGCTTGATGATGTTGGGGTGCTGCAGCATGGAGAACAGCTTGGCTTCCTGCTTGACGCTGGCCGCTGTGGCGGTAATGTCCTCGTCGGGGTCCTGCCGGGCCGCCTTCACGGCCACCTCCTGGCCTTTCCATGTGCCGCGGTACACTTTGCCGAAGCCCCCCACGCCGATGATCTCCTCCAGCACCAGCTCGGTGAAGGGGATCTGGACGGGCGAAGCAGGGACCCGCTCCCGAACGCTGGCGACGGGTAGACGGTAAATGGCCGGCTGATAGGTGACATAGTTGGAGGGGAAGATGCCCACACGGTGGTTGATCTTGCCCGTCCACCAGCCTTCGTCGCCTGAGATGGCCGCGTCCTTGGACAGGACCTCCACCACGTCGCCGCGGCACAGGCTGAGCTCGTCCTCACCGCTTGCCTCGTAGTCGTACGCGGCAGTCCACAGCGACCGTGTCGGGCACAGCGGGGCCGAATGAGCCCACGCGTGCGTGGGACAGTCTGTCCAGGCATGTGCCGTACTCCCTCCACCACCACCGCCGCCCGGCCGCCCTTCACCGTTTGGGAAAGCGGCCTGCGAGACATCCATTTCTCGGTGGCCGTAATGGCACCATAGGGTGCGGGTCTTAAGAGGCTAAATTAAAAGAGCAAAGGGTGACTTTTGGAGCTTCGCATGTTGTTGCTTGTAGTTTTTGAAAAGGAGGGGAATTCCCCGCCTGGGCTCTTGGCACTGGCCAAAGTCCCCCGGCGAAGAGCGTCCCACACTGGATTGTAACTTTATCCGACTCGACTCCGTCAACACCCGGCTACAAGTGGGTGTCTTAACGCTCACCTAAAGTTGACTAAATGTCCCCTAGTCAAGCTGACGTGAGTTTATAAACGTAACAATGTGCATTCTCGGCGTTCAGTAGTCCAAACGTCGACGGGAGAAACATTAACCAAGTGTCCCACAAGTGCTCGATGCTAAAGCTAAAGCTAACGACGCCGAGGCTTCGTCACAGGTGCCGCGGGGGAGGAGGTGCACCTGCCCCCGGGAATAAGGATGCGGCCGCCGAGCGACGGCTTTCTCTCTCAAAGACGACGTTTAGTGTCATCCAGCCGCCGTCCGGCCATAATGCGGCCCGGTGTGGAGACTTGTTCCTCTTTCAGTTGCCGATGTAGCGAAGAAGTTTCCACTGCATTCCACACATGCGCGCGCGCGCGCGGCTAACGGCTTAGCTCGGCTAGCTTGCTTGCTTGGTCAGGAGCGATTCGGTCGCTGGTGAAAAGTAACTCTTCTCGTCTTCACAACTCCCGGGAAGTCCTCATTGGTGGGCGGCGGGTGAGCTCTCAAAATCCCATCGAACATCCTCAGATTAACAGAGTGGGAATGTTTGTTTACATATATAACAAAAATAAACCGTGAGACGTGGAGAGAGGAATATCAAAACAACCAATCCCGTAGGAAGTTTGTCCTGTTGGAGTTTGGAGGACGAAATGGGGTGTCTGAGCAGCGGATGGGAGAGAGACACCGGGGCGGGGGGGGGGGGGGGGGGGGGGGGGGGCGGTTGTTGCCGTGCTGGTTGCCACGCTCTGATTGGTGGATTTGCTGACATGTGACTACACAAAAGGAGGGGTGAGGCGGGTGTTGAGCCAACATTGGAATGTGAGTGGAGCGCGCGCAGAATTCATGGAGATGATGGGAAGAATGGAGCGCCTAATTATGCACATTTCCGATAAAATCGCAATACTAACGGCAGTTGTATTACCACAGCTATCAAGCTCAAGCCCCGAGTGCCAGATGCGGCCTGTCACATCATTTTATGGCTCACTAAAGCAAGTCATGTGCTACTTTGTTATTTGGGGGGGAATAAAATGTCTACCAAAAATGAAAATGTCTTCATATTCAATAGGGTTGAGGTATTTGAAAGATTTTTTTTTAACCTCGCTCATTTTTAAAATAAGAAGAAAATTAGTTGAACAAAGTGTTTTCATTAAATGGACACTTAATTAGTGAATAAATACATTAAATAAATGTCAAAATAAAGAAGATATATTTTTTTAAATTAAAGAGAAGCATGTCATGTGTCACCATAACATTGGTGCAACAAACAAATAAATTATAGTATAAAAGTGCGTAAAATGTAAATGCCTCCGTGCAAGCTATTCTGTTCCGATAAACAGTGAAGGTGGGAATCACATAATAGGAGAGCGGGAGGAGGGACGGATGGGAAGGGGAAGGGAGGCAGGGACCGAGGGGGGAGGAGGCGGTCAAATCTGCGCATCTGTCGAGCCAGCGAGGAAGAGGAGCCAGAAAGGGAGAGAGCGAGGAAGGCGAGCCGAGCAGGATGAGGACAGCGATGCTGGGGATGATTCCCCCGTCGACGCCGGGATGGGAGACGCCAGAACCACTACGAGCCGGAGCGATGAACCGTGAGGGAGGAGCCAAGCCGCAGAGGCGACATGGAGGTGCGTAGCACCCGCTGAGGGAGAGAACCTCTTTATTGTAGCCTAGCAGCATCATCAACACCATTCGGCCGACCGACCTGAGCGGGGAGGAAGAGGAGGAGGAGGTGGAGGAGGAGGAGGAAGAGGAGGAGAGGGAGGCAGAGATGGGCTCCCACATTGCTCAGACCCTGCGTCAGGGCGTGTGGGCGTCCCTCACCGGGGGCTGGTACCATGACCCGGAGCAGAAGAAATTCAACAACTCCTGCCACCTCTATCTGTGGATCTTCCTGCTCATCCTGCCGTTGTCTTTACATCTGGTGAGTTGGGGCCTTTTGTTGTTTTTCTTGCGTTTTTTTAATGTTGTTTTTTGCTTCCGTGAGATGCCCGTGATAGCTTTCTGACATCATCCATTGTGTGCTTGGCGAGAATAGGAAAGCGGCATTGTCGCAGTGTGTTGCTCCCTCGGTGCGTGCAGTGACTCGACGCATGGCTGTTCCTGCATGTGACAGTATAAATAAACTGCTGCCATTACTGTGCACGCATGCTCATTGTGTTTGAGTCATTTAAATACTAAGCAGGCATCCCCAATCTGAGGTGGTGAATGCTTTCTGTTGGTAGCCTTTTTAGAAGATGAGAAAATTAAATACCCTACTGTTTTTCTTCAAGTACAGGCCTTCCCCAAAGAGTGTAGACCGCCTATTTTCCTGATGCATTTACTAAAAAACAGTAACTTAAGGTATCAGTTCATAGATTCTATTGTACACGCAAGAATGGCTGAGCACCTTCGAAATCTGTTGCTAACCAATACGGCAGCGCCGACCAGTGCAAGTATATCAAGAGACTTGTGCGGAGTTTTAGCATGCATTCCCTGCAGCTGCGCTGTTGATTTTTATGGAGAACGCGTCTTCAGCGACGATTAGCGATGATAACCATCCATCCCATTATCCGAGCCACTCATCCTCATGGGGTGTGAGGGTGTGCTGGAGCCTATCCCAGTTGTCCTCGGGCAGTAGGCAGGGTACACCCTGAACTGGTTGCCAGCCACTCGCGCAGGGCACACAGAGACAAACAACCATTCGCACTCACAATCACACTTACGGACAATTTAGAGTTCTCAATTAAACTACTGTGGATGTTTTTCAAATGTGGGAGGAAACCGGAGAACCCGGAGAACACGGGGCGCACATGCAAACTCCACACAGGGGAGGGCTGAGGCCCGGAATTGAACCCTGGACCCCTGCACTGTGAGGCCTACATGTTAACCAGTCGACCACCGTGCCGCCCGCTTTACAACCAATAGCTGCTGAATATACTGTAGAAGCTGTGTTTGTACTTTGTAGCTGCTGAATGTAAATATTAGTTACTTCGACTCTTAGTTACTTTGCTGATGAGTTGGTTTTGAAAGTAACTAGGTTTCTTTTAATATCAAGTAATCAGTAAAGTAACTTTTTTTAAGTTACTTTTTCAAAGTAACTGCGGCAACACTTGGTCCTACCTTTGCTTTGACGACTTGGTGTCCACGCATGCAGGCCCTGCCTCCGACCACCATGGCCTTGAGCATCTACTGCGCCTCCGTCACCGTCTTCTTCGTGCTGGTCAAGACGGCCAACTACCGTCTGCACGTGCTGTTCGACGAAGGGGAGGCGGTGGTCCGCAGCAGCCTCTCTGACCTCAGCGGGGCCGCCGACAAGAAGAGCAACACCGCCTCCGACGCCTGCCTGCCCGCCAACATCAGGTGACTATCAACAGATTTGGCATACAAACAAGACCTAGTTTACAGCATTTTCCTCCAAGACTCGTTTGAATTTAGTTTAAAATTTCATGTCCAAAACAAAATAAATGTGCCACCATCTAGTGGTCAACAGTGGGATTACACGCAAAACAAAACATGGAAACGGAGAGCCGCAGTTTCACTCTTCTTGCTGTTAACTGAAGCTTGACAATGGGGGAATCTTCATCCAGCCCGTATACCAAGTCATGACTTGTCACAATTAGACATTCAAAATGACACATTTTTGATTAAGGCAATGAACAAAAGGTTTACAGTACTGGGTTGTTTCATTTCACACTTGATGGGTCCTCAAGAACGCAAAATTTGAATAGAAATTTTAAAAAAAAGAACAATTTCTCGAAGTTAGCGTCAACCAAGTCTACCTTTTTCCAATAGGAAGAGCAGCACCGTCCCAGACAACGTCGCCATGACGATGCTGGCTCGCAAGCGCCCCAGTCAGGTCATCCAGGTGACCGTCAAGCAGACGGAAACCGACGTGGGACTGATCGGGGTGGTGAGTGGTGATCGCTGTGCATACAGTTGATGGATGTTTGCTGCCATGAAGGCGACATCCATTTACAGGTGAATTTCAATGCAATGTTTCTCTTCCATGCAGGAGTGCTTTAAATCAGATGAGGGGAAGACAGTAGAAGGTGAAGTTCAACTGATGATCGCTTTGAGTATTCACCGTGAATATTCTCATAACGTCTTCATTTACACCTAATATGTGCTTCTCTATGATTTCCGCAACTGCAGTGGCCTGTAGTGCCGAATGTGCGAATCCAGGGGAGGCAGGCCCGCATCCGAGCCCAGAGCCTACCCTGGGAGAAACCCCCGACAAGAATACTCCTCTGCTGCAGGCTCAGCAGAGGCCCCCATCCCTAACTGAAAGACAGGAGACTCCATCTGTGGGAATGATCCATGACAACAAGGAGCCGGCAGACGAGGGAAGACAAGAGGAGAAAGCCAGCGAGGAGAACGTGGAAGCATGTGGAGAAACATCTGAAGGTCTTCTACCCCACAAAGCAAATAAAGATGATGGTGGTGAGAAGGAGAGCGAGGACAACAAGGAGCCATCAGATGCCAACAATAACTCACTGCAGACCCCCCGGGAGTGCTCTCACAAGCTCATTGACATGCCAGACCCAGCTACACAGGTGTAGTGATGTCACGCATGAAATGGACAGCATACAGTATGTATTGGTTGAGCACACACCTCTAGCAAGGTGGAGAAATGGTGGTAGTAGTCAAGCAGAATGACGAGAAAACGCTCTGCTCAGTGTCAGTCAAGAGGGTTGGGAGACATTATTGAATGGGTTCTTGTTTTAAGTTTCATGAAAATGACTGGCTGACTAGCCGACGAAATGATTGAATGACTAGCTAGGAAACTGACTGAATAACAGACTGACTAACTAGCTACCTAAATCACTAACTTACTGTGATTTATGGACAATGAACTAATTGATTGACTGACTGCATAACTAGCTAACAAAGTAAATCACCGGGTAACTGACTAAAAACCTGACTGATTGCCTGACTGACTGACTGACTAACTAACTGGGTGTCTAGATAGCTAGATAGCTGACTAATCGCCGAGCGAACTGACCAATGTATTGATCGACGGACTGTCAGACTAACTACCATACTAACTGGTTGACTAGCTGAGAAATTGACTGAGTTTAGCTAGCTAACTGAGTAATTGAGGAGAGAATTAAATCTCATTACCAAATCAATTAACTGAGTGAGTAGCCAAATAACTAGCTGACTGGTTGCCAGCCTGAACCAACATTTCTTTTTCCATTTGTGAGTTCAGTGGAGTTACAAGTAATTTTGCATCTTGTGTCAGCACGAGCAAGGGGAGGAGACATACTGCTCCGATGAAATCGAAGTGGTCCTCACGGACAGTTCCGCTCCGGCAACTTCTTCTCCGCCTCAACACGTGGACGCCGACAGCAACAGCGACGCGGTCAAGATCGTCATCACCATGAGCTGTGACCCTCTCACCGCCGCCCAGCTGGAGGAGAGCGTCAAGCAGAGTCTGCTGGAGAACGCACAGGTGAGATCAATGGCGGCAGGTTGAGGTGTCCTGTGCAGTGATCATTTTCATGGCCATTACTTATGTTTCTCAGGCTCAAAAGGATGCTGACGAATGTCACATCAAGATCCCGGTTATCGTCTTCGACTTGCCCGAGGACGACAAGCAGGAAGCGGAAGAAGAAGGGCATGAAAAAGAAGAAGAGGACCTATCAAAGGACGAGCTCACCCTGAGACAGATGGAGAGCCAAAGCGAGGAGTTCTACTTATGCAAGGACACAGTCAGCTCACAGTCAGCCACTTCGGGGTGTCTCCTTCCAGGTGGGGAGCAGGCCCTGGTCAGCATGCCGCATACCAATAACAACACCTCATCCGGTGTGGACGTCTGCTCCCACTTCCATCCCGATGACACGGACACTCCGATTTCCAGCACGGACCCTCAAGGTTTTCTGCGTCTGCCGCCCGCTTTGGGCCGCTATGGTCCCGGGGGAAGGATGCACTTACGCGGGCTGAGCATGGACAGCGGGAAAGACGCCGTGCTGCTTTCGGACCGCTCCCAAAACACAGTATGTCATGACACTTCCAACTAAAGTCACCCCTGTATTTTGTACTCTACGAACACTTCTTTCGTCTCGATGCCAGACCACCATGACCACCTCCAAGTCAGACCTGGAGGCAAAGGAGGGCCAGATTCCCAACGAATCCAAATTCTTGGAGTTCGTCTCCCTGTTGGAATCTCTTAGTGCCCGAGGGAGCACCAAGGAAGAAGGATCTGACCTCCAGCCGGACGTGGGAACTTCCGTGGAGACCGAAAAGCAACACACGGGTTCGTTACTGAATCTTTCCTGACTTGGACCCTTTCATACTGCTCATTTCGCATGACTTGATAACTATCTTTTGTACATCAAATTATGATTAAAGTTTTTTTATTTTTTTTATTTAATGTATTCAGAGCCCTTGCATGATCATTATTGTTCCACGCCGTGTTCAGCTGCATTTCTGGCAGGATGGCTTACTACATAATCACATCAGAATTTTTTTTTCCACCCTTAATTCTGAATCACAAAAACAACGGCATGAACTGCATTACAGAAAACACAAACGCATCTCCCGGAGCAAATGAACCCAAAGAGAGCAAAACGCACAGCAAAGCCGAGCGACCCAAACCGCCCACCAGTCTGGCTCCCGACAAGTCTGTTCTGCCTATACACATTCCCATCGTCTCACCAGACAGGTACCAAAAAAAAACATCTTTTTTACAAGATACCAGAGGTGCTCATTAAGTAGACCATGAGCTAACAAAGTCCTTGTAGTCATCTTATGTTTTCGTGTGTTCATGTGATTAAAAAAAAAATCTGTCTATTTCGAGGAGCTAATACAGCAGATTGAATTGGCTCCCCGATAAATTGGTCAGGCCCCTCTCAGCGTCACTATCTGGTAATTGTATTCCACCTCCAGTCCGCAGACGGAAAAAGATCCCGACTATGACTCACTCCCTTCCCAAACGTCCCAGTCGGAAAGCTCCATGCTGCAGGTTATCTGTCGGCCGGAGGCTACGAGCAAGGAGGAAGCGTATACCTTCCACACTGTGCACCGTAAGCTGCTATCCATCTCCGATTTGAATGTGTAAATGCACATTTTTGATTCGAAGTTTTTTTTGTTTGTTGTCAAAGGAGAGAGGCCCCGGAAGCTGTATGCCGAGCGAGCCCTCAACCTGCCGCTGGGCGCGGAGCTGATCACTGGCAACATGTGGTATGACTGACCATGTTACGTACTCGAGGCCAATTGTGGCGTTTATTCCACATATTAAAATACTCCCGAGGCATCTTAAAGGTGCCTTTTCCATCATAATCCAGCCTTTTCCACTGTTTTGTGTGTGTGTGTGTGTGTGTGTGTGTGTGTGTGTGTGTGTGTGTGTGTGTGTGTGTGTGTGTGTGTGTGTGTTGAG